ATATAGAGAGAGAGAGAGAGAGAGAGAGAGAGCACAGTCATTGGAGTTAAGCTTCTAGATGTAAATTTTCCCTTGCTGTGTGACTATGGGAGGCACCATCTAAGATAGCTTCCAATGATTACTGTCTCCTAGCATTCACACTTTTGTGCAATACCCTCCTTGGACAATTTGCCTTTAGAGACCTTAGTTTATTCATCTATAAAATGGGGATAATACAAATATCTACTTCATAGAGTTGTAATGAGGATTTTAAAAATTGCATACAAAATACTCAGACCAGTTCCTGGCACACAGTAAGCTTCATATAGGCACCAGTTATAGTTGTGCACTTCCCTGGGTTGAGCAGACACATCTCATGGTATGTGTCATTTCCCTGTCATTCAAACGTGTCCACAGCTCCCTCCAGGCAGAGTCTCAGTACAGTGTTTCCCTTAAACAGCAGCAACATGGCTTGATGAAAAGGGTGAGCTTAACAGTGAAACAAGTCTTGGACTGACTCCCAGATCCACCATTCATCAGCCTTGTGATTTTTAACAGGTTGATTTTTTTCATCTCCTGAAGCTCAGTTCCTCACATATGGAATAGAAATAAAAATTCTACTCTGTAGGATTTTTTTCCTAATAAAATGTTGTTTTGTTTTTTTTTAATGTATGGCTCATGGGCCAGGGATTTAGCTCAGTGGTTCTGCCACTTGCCTCACAAGAGCAAGGACCCGAGTTCAATCCCTGGTAACCCCCCAAAAAAGTATGGCTCATGATAAGTAATAAAATATGAATATTATTTAATTTTTAATTAACTTTTTTCATTATGTTTATTAGAACATTTAGGTATACAATATAGTTGTAATTCATCATTGGGATCTCATACCTTTACATGATTAACTTAATTTATTTTTTTGGTATGGGGGATTGCAAGGCAGGCTGCAGAACCACTGAGCTAAATCCCCAAATCCCTGGCCTAATTAACTTAACTTTTAAAGGGCCAGTGCCTGCCTAACAAGCATGAGGCCGTAAGTTTGATTCCCAGTACCAA